ATTGAATTGAACTGCCAATAAGTAGGAAAGATCAAAGGAAAGAAATAATTCCAATAATTTACCACTTACCAATTACCAAATATTTATTATGTAAGTCTCAGGAGCTGCGGTCGCCGGCTGCCCCCTTAGTCCTTGCGCCCTAAGGTGCCTTATTAGCCTGTGGGTAAATCAGGCCCTGTGAGACACTGTATAGATTTAAACTTTATCCCTCTTATTAATAAACGAAGTCTAAGCTTGGAGTAGTTACTCTATGTTTTGTCTCTGTTTATTGAATGACAAATGGCACTGAGTGATATGAACAAAACACGACGTAAGTAGTCTAAGCTTATACCTCGTTTATTAATGAGGGTGATGATGTATTTCTTTAAATAAATCAATCAATCTATTAATTTATAGATTATATTGTTATACACACTCAGAGTTTTCTTCTGTATTTGTATGTTCAGACAGCAGCAAAAATGTCGGATTAAAGAGTTATAAAAAGTTCTATTTACTACTAAAGCTTCTTAAAAATCCCTGAATTTTACCAAAAAAATGCATAAAGATTGATATTGTTTTATTGCTTTAGCAAATAAAAGTAAAGTTAAACGGACGTCTTTGAGATTTATAAATAAGTGTCACCAGGTGTCACCTTAAAAAGCTTTAAAAGGCTGAACTCAATTAATATTCCACAAAACTTATTATAATGTCATGGTGAGGCGTGTCTTATTGGTAGCTCGGAGCTTAACGTTATAAAAAAATTTACGACATGTAGGAAACTTGCTAAAAGGTCTCATATCTGTACATTTAGTGCGTTGTAAATTTAATATAACTCGTTGACACTGCATCGTGAAGCCAAGTGGGTGTAGAGTTTCGTTGCAGCCGCGGTGCCTCTAAGAAAGTTTTCCCTTTTCTAATTAGGAGAACCGTAGAGAACTGAGCAAATAATTGAAAAGTTACATGTACGCTATTACAAACTAATACATTTTAGTATGTTTTATTCATTTTCCAAATGTATGTATATATACAATTCCTTGTTTACTGCGCAATTGTTCTCAAAGATCTCTCTAAGGAAAGTATTAATTTCTACATTTGGTGTAAATAGTAAATAAAGTCTTTGAAACCAATATTAGATTTAAACAAATACGTTTATCAATGGCGTGGATTAGTGGGCGAGGAGATAGATAGATAGATAATTCTTTATTGTACACACCACATTATAAAATACAAAATTAGGACAATAATTTCAAAAGGTGAACAATTGGCAGTCTTGTGGCTATGTAGCCATTTCTTCCAGACAACCATAGGATGGAGAGATGAAATTCAATTAAAGGGGGGGTGTGCAACTACAAAATTAAAAAAAAGGAAAACAAAATATAACCATGGTAAAAATTACTGTACATATTATAAAATAGAAACTGATAAAAAAAAAACAAATAAACAAAAACATACATCGATACATAAAATAAAATACACATTGTTAATAAATTTTGTAATAATAATATGATGCAAGCAAGAACAGGGAGGATGCATGGGAACAACACAAACAATTATTGTAAAAGGAAAAAATCCTTTACCTCGCTTTTAAACTTTCCTATAGTCTGTGCACGTCTAATCTCAACAGGAAGAGAGTTCCAGAGGCGCACATCTTCAACACAAAAAGAGTATAAAAGGAGGTATTGTGTACAGGAGTTTTAAGGCTCAGATTCTCTGATGAGCGTAGCGTCTGGGTATGGGAACTGTGGAGAAAACTGAAAAGTTCTTTGAGATAATTGGGGTAATAGGGATTAAACAAAACATTGTAAAGAAGGGAAAGTATTTGAGTATCCCGGTGACGACGAATTGGAAGCCACTTGAGTTGAGAGCGATACTGGGAAACGTGATAATATTTTCTTAAACCAAATATGAACCTGATGCAGAAATTTTGAAGGCGCTCAAGTTTATTTAGCTGGTCCTCCGTAAGGTTAGGATAGCAGGCGTCAGCATAGTCAAGGACAGGACGTAACAGAGATTGAGATAGCATAATTTTAGTGGCAGTAGGTAAAGAGTTAAGAAGTCTTCTTAATGAACCAGCAGACGCATACAGCTTCCGACTTACAGCTTGTAGCTGTGGCTCCCAGCTCAATGTACTGTCTAATATCACTCCCAGATTTTTCGCTGTTGTACTATAAAGTATATCAGTTCCTTCGAATTTTACTTTAGGAAGAGCAATCCAGTAATTTTTGTGACAATAATCTGGAGCTACCCACAACCATAACTTCTGCAATTCGACATAAATCAAGATTGGTTTTTAATACTGCTTCTTCAAGTTTTTCAAGTGGAGCCTGGCAATAAATCTGTAAATCGTCTGCATAAAGGTGGTAGGATGAAGATAAATTTAAAGAGATAGAATTAATAAGAGGAGATGTTAATTCAACGCAATATACAGCACTATGGTTTGAATATGACATCTTGATGGTTATAACCAATTGCTGATGCATAAAATAGTTCACAACATATTTATATATATAAAATCAGTTCTATTAAAAATGAGTCTTGCCGTTCTTGAATTATAAGTGGTCTAACGTAGAAGACTTTATTATATATATATATATATATATATATATATATATATATATATATATATATATATATATGAACTATTTTATGCATCTGCAATTTGTTAAAACCATCAAGATGTCATAATCAAACCATAGTGCTGTATATTGCATTCAAAAAAAAAATCAAAATTCAATGTCGTTTATTCAGTCAAGGTTGTTACAAGCACTTGTGAATGTCGAAAAGCTACGCCATCGGTTCGCAAATCTACGGCGGGAGACCTTGTACTGAGAAGAACCGGCAAGAAACTCAACAAGGGCTGCTTTTTTCTCCCTGTTTTATTTCATACAGTGTCGTCCAATTGAAAGTTGACATCAAGCTTGCAAACATGTGTTGAGGTCAACTTCCATTACATAATGTCAAATATGTAACAATAGACAATCAACGAATTTACTAACAATAAGTGCAAAGATAAGTCCCAAAATAGCAAGAAACAATTTTCAAAACAAAATGAACAAGTATATGAAAGGGAGTAAGTGCAAGGTTCTCTTCAAAACTCTTCCTAAGGATGGGAGCCCTAGTTTTAATATAACTTTTGAAAAATTATCTACAGGTAAAATTACAACCAGGCCGTTTTATCATTCAAATATTGATTGACAGTATGATTGGCAGTAAATTTATGAGGAGGCAAATCAAGGATATCAATAGGAATCTTATTATAGAAATGTATACCTTGACCCATAAATGATTTATGAACCTTCTGTAACCTGTAATTTGGTATCTTGAGTTTATTTTTATTCCTTGTATTAAAAGAATGTATGTCACTGTGTTTGAGATAATAGTTAATATTGCTTCGAACAAAAAGTATGCAATTATAAATGAATTGTGAAGCAACAGCCAAAATCCCGATTTCTTTAAATTTTTCTCTAAGAGATGTTCTAGAACTAAGTTGATAAATAGCCCTTATAGCTCTTTTTTGCAAGATAAATATAGTTTCAATATCGGCTGCTGATCTCCAGAGAATAATACCATAGGATACAATACTATGAAAGTAAATAAAGTATACAGTTCTAGCAGTAGCTACATCAGTAAGTTGTCTTATTTTACGTATGGCATAGGCTGCTGAACTAAGTTTACCAGCTAGCAGAGAAATATGAGGATACCATTGCAATTTCGAATCTATGGTTATACCTAAGAATATCGTTGATTCAACTAAATCTAGGTTTTCATTGTTTAATTTAATTCTAATGGTTTCGCTTCTAACATTAGGTAAAGTGAATTTAATGCATTTGGTTTTATTTGCATTTAATTTTAAGTTATTTACATTAAACCAGTGCAATACTTGTGAGAGAGCATTATTTACATCGTCAAAGTTATTCTTGTATCGGTCAACCTTAAATAATAAAGAAGTATCATCAGCAAACAATACGATGTCACACATTTTTTCCACAAAAAATGGCAAATCGTTTATGTACAATAAAAATAGAAACGGACCTAAAATCGATCCCTGGGGAACGCCCATTTTCACATAAGATCCAGATGACTTAACACCATTTACCTCTACAGTTTGAACTCTGGAACTGAGATACGATAGTAGCAAGTTTTGGGCTGCGCCTTTGATTCCATAGTGATTTAATTTTAACACCAGCGTCTGGTGCTCAACGTAGTCAAACGCCTGGCATAAGTCACAGAATACCCCAAGAACATTCTACGACTTCTCCCAGGCTTCCATTATATGTCTAATAAGTGCAACACCCGCATCCGTTGTTGATCTACCCCTAGTAAAGCCAAATTGATTATTATCTAACAGTTTGTTTTACATTACATTGAATTAACGTCTCCTCGCCCGCTAATCCACATATATATAGAACTGTTTTTTTTAGATTCGTCTCCGCTCTAAATAGCAGATGGGTTATAAAAGATTCTAAAAGTATGGGGCTTTCTAAGAACTTAAAATTTATGAAAAGTTTCGGCGCTGTGGTAGTGAAATGCGCATGAATGACAATGTTATTTGTTTTTTATACTCATAATGCCACACATCTAGCAGTAAAAATTGTGGCTGTCTGATAAGAAGCGGAAGAGTGTTATTATGAAATTTAGTACATTATTTCCCGTTTAAGTGCGGTTAAAATTTTTAAGACATCTAGCCGATGGCTGGTCATTGCGAAAGTTGCATAACTTCCGCGTTCGTAGACCGAACGCGCTAACCACTTGCGCCATCGAACTTCTCAGAAACATTGTTAGATATTGATATCAAAATACCTTGTTTTACAAATAAATACTCCTAGCGCCATCTGTTGTAATTTTGCAACAAATTATAAATATGTCAGACCACATATTTATAATTTGTTGCACACAAAGGAACACAGCACAGATGCTGTGTTCCTTTTAGTCTTTGGAAACTGAAATAAAAAAAGTTACTCGGTCAACTGACATTCTTGAGTTTTATTAAACATGTCCTTACTCATAATTTCCTCACGCAGGAAGGACGTTTACTTCGTGACAGTAACGCAAGCCCTGACATGGATGACAGACCCGAAGCCAGCAAAGTCGTTGACCAATTACGAGCCATGGCGCTGCGATAAAAACGACCTGCCTCCAGCGCCCTGCAACCTGCCCAACAAGTGTGCTCTCTCCTTCAAACATCCAGATGCAAATTTCACCGATACCCGCTACATGGAGACATGCAGCGAATGCCCCAATCAGTAAGTTTGAAATATGTCAATATTTATCTATGTCAGTCAGTATAGACTCCATGGAGGTTATAGAGAAGGAGAATGATCGCTGTAGAAAATAGTGTCCCAGAAACATGGACAAAACAAGTGAGGCGCTGCGATCGCTAAGTTGTCTCAATAAAAGCGGGCTAATTTGAAATGACCAATGCCGCGTAGAAAATTTGTACAATATTCAACTAATTTCATTTACTTTTACTCATAAACAGCTAACTTCACAGATACTACTTACCGACAGCAGCGTGGTTGGTGGCTGAAAAATGAACTATAAATTCTACAAATTTTCAGGGATAGGCGGGCTAGGCGGGCTAATTTAGTACGTAGCGATGGTTCTCCTTCTCTCTAACCTCCATGATAGACTCGTTAAATTTCAAATTTAAATATTATTCTTGAATATCTTCATCGTTTGACTGTTTATTTGTTTACGAGATTGCTGCAATGGACCATGTTTATTACATGTTTATGATATTTTGGCACTATTAGAAGAGCCACTATATTGGTGAAACTGAAATAACTGCGGGGAGATGTTATTGGTGGACAGAACGGTCTACTATCGTCATCAAAGGCTTTTACTGTGCTCGACGCCCGTACCACTGAACAGAATGACAATGTTCAATCATTTACACCAGCGGGGCTATTCTGTATAAATTTTCTCGCGCGGATCCGATGCGGATCCATGAAAGCATGAGACGCATGAACAACAACCCCTCGTGGCTTATTAATCCTGCTTGAGACTGTGTGCGAATGCATGTAAACTTAACGTCGATGCGCGTGTGACAGCAATTACGCTTTGTTCCGAGTCGACTTGAGCTTGGGCGCGGCGGTTAAGCATTTAGTGCCTGGGCTGCATTAAGCGGGAGCGCGGAGCGTGCAGTTTTTATGTCGTTTCATAGGACAGCGCAGGCTCTTAAGCTCAAGTCATACACTATTATCTGGCTACAAATAAGAACAAAGTTGAATAACTTCTCTAATATCAGTAACAATGTAAGTTTAAAACTTCACATTCGTTACGCTAAAACTTTACAAAAATAGTTTAACGATCGATTTGGAATCAAATGAAATCTCTGTTAAACTTGTTTTGAAAATATTGTTTCAACCTACAAATACGGTGTACGCCTATGTTAAAAGCAAAATTAAGAGAAAGCGAAATTTAATTTCTCTATATAGATGAGAGAATACTTGGATATGATAGTCCTTCAAGTGAGCTTAACAAAAAATTAAGACGTTTATCGGGATAATAAAACGAATTTGCTTAGGGATTTCATTTGTGTCTTAGAAATAATGTAAGGATAAAATATAACATTATTAGCTGGAATATCTTGTTGACTGTAGAATTAAGCTTCTAGTGAGCTTAAACCGATTAAGTAGATGTTAGCACGGATTTTTAATCGTTAAATATTACTGAGTGACTATTAAACCAACGAAACTATCACAATTACTGATCAAAATTATGGTGAATGTTATAGGCTCACTATTTAAAGCTGTAGACATTTGCTATAGAGCGTTGCCACTCAACAGTCGCTGCCACACCCACTGCATTAAATGTTTCACATAACAAAATAACGGTATCTTTTCTCTTTTGTTTGGGTTCCAAGTCAACAAGGAACCTACAATTTCAGTATATCCGATCGTCCGTCTACAGGATATTTAGTTGTACTTTATAGAAAGCTGTAATATGCCATGGATATACAGGATAATATAAAGCATCGAAATTTTAGCTTAGGTAATTGACTTCCGTAAAGCTTTGTTAGCTGTGTAACACAGGTTATAAATGTATGTCTATGAAATGTGGTAAATCGGCTTATTACAGTATAGCTTACCTTTCGTCAGAACTAGCTTGTTTCTGTGATTGCTATATAGATGGGTCACTTGCATTATTCTAATGCTTCTCCCACATCTGCGCGATTAGGCTTCGGATGGCTTTGGTACTAATTGCGCTAAAAAATATCGTTTGAAATTGGAATCAGTTCTGACGTAATGTATTAGCGGGCTGCGTGTCTATAGATGCTAGACGATGTGACTGTTCGCACACCTAAATAAATAAATAAACGATAGCTTGACTGGCGATTATTTGATATGCTAAAAGAGGTTGTGGAAAATGATAAATTTGTATGTGCAGCTAAAGGAGCTTACTAAATAATGCCAATTTTAGTACCAAAGCCACCCGAAGGTTCATCACGCAGGTGTGGGATAATACGCATAGCCTATCTCTCAGTTCAGTATCCTTAGCACGAACCAATATCGAATTCGAATAGTTTGCGAGTGTGAAATGTCATGGTCAAATGTGTACTGATTTTTAGTTCTCGTAACGTCCGTTATGGCTCTGCTGTTCAAGTTTCCATACAAAATTTACCAATGACATTTCGGACTGGCAAACTATTCGAATTCGATAATGGTTCGTGCTACGGGTACAGCACTCACCTATAGCGGTTGCAATGAATTGTCGCTAAGGTTTATTTTGTGTTCAATAAATATAGGCCTGTGTCTAGTAGTGGACAGTGATGAAATATATGTAAAAAAGAGTCAAAATTTATCGTTTTTCTTTTCTACTTTCAGATATCCTTGGTTAGGTGATTCTGGCGGCACTGGAATACCTGGCAAAGACAACTACATACCAGACAATTTGAAGAGAAAGTAATTCCAGTAGTAGAAATTTTCTAATTGACTATATAATCTGTTATGCGAGCGATGACATATTTGGTTCAATACTCAAAACTTATCTTTTAAGGCCACATCTACTTTGTATTTAAGTTAAATTAGTCATTGCTCTAATATAGATTGTACTGTTTGTATATACGGCCTACTCTTATAATGCGTAGGTAGTTAAGGGAACGGTGACTAGTCGTCGTAATTCATATTAGTATTTAATTTACTTTTGTATCATTCACTTATTTATGACAAAAAAATGTAATTTACTTAATCATTTTTTTATTTTACTATTTTCTAAAACCTTTCGGGTTGTGACTGTTTTCTTTTAGTCTCTTATCTCATATTAAATGTTGAATCTCATTTTGCATAAGTATTTTTGATGCATAAAGCAGTGAGGCATGTAATGGATTTATCATTTTTATATAATGGTGGATGAGGAATCATTTTATTTCTTCATGTATTCTTACATTGTTCAGTTCATCTAGTCTGAAAACGCTTGAAAATGGCATTGCAATGAAATTTACATCGTCGTATTAAAACAACTTGTCATGATTTTAGTTTCCAAGAACTTTCAAATTATGTTTGTTTCATTCGTTGTATTTATTGTTAAAAGCAATCGAACACACTTAAATGGCTTAAAAAACGGAAGTAAAACAAACAAACCAAGTTTCGAATGGTTCTAATGTTGACGTTTTTGGAAGAAATCATACAGTTCTAATCGATTGTTCATTAGCTGTTGTATTCGTGTCTTTCCTTAGTGTTAGTTCAAGAAGCCTCAGTAAAAATATAAAAAGTTGTAATTTGTCCTGGACATACATTATGCATATAGGACAGGATAATATAAAGCATCTAGATTTTACCTTAGGTAATCAACTCCTGTAAAGCTTTGTTAGCTGTGTAACACAAGTAAAACAAACAAACAAAGTTCCGAATGGTTCTAATGTTGACGTTTTTGGGAGAAATCATACAGTTCTAATCGATTGTTCATTAGCTGTTGTATTCGTGTCTTTCCTTAATATTAGTTTAAGAAGGATCTGTAAAAAAATAAAAAGTTGTAGTATAAGTATGCATTCTTTCAGATCAAAAATTTAATTATAACCTTAAATAATTTAATTTCTTTAATTAAATGTCTTCTGAAAATAGGTATCTTAACTTTTTACTTCAAAAAAGAAACTTTATTTTGGTCGATATATTTCTGTCTTTTCAATTGAAGCTTTGCCATTACGATACTGATTTAATTAATACTGGCATTTTATTCGACATGACGTTTTCCGCTCGGCAATTGGTTAAGTTACTAATTGAGACACTGTTAAATAAATACATCCATGTTTCCAAAACGATCTATGTTGTCACAATATGAATTATGTAATACCATCGAGTTCGATGCTCTTAGTTACTGTAAGGTAAAATACCTGTTTAATTTGTTGAATGAAATAAAATGAATTATATTTCTGTAGAAGTGTATTTTATTTGTGAATTTGATTCACCGGCGCCTTCTTCTGATGGTAGGTATTACTGGTCTTCGGTTTCTATAATTTGCTTCTGTCAAAAATGCCTTATCGAATATTGTTGAATAAAAAAGCCTTATTTATTCTATAAGTTATTTAAATAATAATGGACGCGTTGAGTATATGAGGGCTTATCGTATTGTCATCGGTTATATAACTAAAATTATTACTTAACTGGAGGTCCTCCGTGTTTCAGGAGGCTCGTAAGTCTAGCAATCTCGACTTGAATGGTAGAACTAAGATATGAATTAAAATAAATTTCGGTAACAATAGAATTTCTACCGCTATGACAAAATATCGATGTCGTTCATTTATTATCTTTAAAATCAAACCGGGTTGCGGTAACAATCTTGAGAAAATTACAAATAATTGTGGCGTGAATTTCGTGAATATCTTCATAGTGATAGCTGTTGAATTTAGTTAATTAGCGCTAGGCCATGTTTGAGATCATGAGGCCATGCCTATGGCTAATTTTAGTTCAACAAAACGTTAATTCGTTCCTTGGTCACATGCAAGACTGTTTTGTTGTTATTAGCGTCTTGTTATTGCAAGTTTTCCAGCTTTCTCTTGAATATGTGAAAGCCTTCAGAAGGGGTTAGTAGATTTTATAGAAAACCAAAAGCGTGTGTATTTTAAAATGTAGGGTGTCGTTTAAATCAAGTCACACAATAATGTGAAAGCGGACTGATACCGGGTACAAATCTGAAAGCGTGTAACTGTGTGGAATAGCCGTCACCGCCATCCTTATTTGTTTTCTCCATTCTCCATATTCCACATCCTTGACCACTACTTAATTGTAAATATTCATTATGGTTTTTATTTAGTTTGAATTCAATTCCGTCAAAGCTGTCATAAAAAATAATTCATTGTCGATCCAGCAGAAAACTCTAAGAATATGGATCTTTTTTTTGATACCTATCGTAATTTATTTGATTTCGGCTCGATTCAAAATGTTTTTTTTTATAAGTTTTCAATCCACAGTGGGGTACGTAAAGTTGTATAGGTACAGTTTAATTGCACTACCTACATTTTTTTAAGTTTATACCTTGTTTGTTACTGTTTTTATTTCTACCATAAATAACCGTTTCAAGCTTATTGTTAGCGAGATTTTAATTCTATCCCCATCCTTTACCGACGGCACAAGTGTATAATAAGAAAAACCAAAGAATAAAGACTCCAAAAATTACAACCCTTTACAAAGTAGTAGTTAATAGGTACGCACACTAATGTTGATTCTATATTAGCATTATAGCCTGTCGACTGGTCGTTTTCAGAATCGAATGCTTGTTAAAGTCACCCATACTTTTATTCTATTACAAAAGCAAAGAAAGTGATAGCATCGACCTTGATCAACCTTTGAAGTTAATTAATGTAGCTTTAAGAAATAATGTGGGAACATTCAATTGACAATTGACCATATTGTCGATTGCATGCGAGCAACGAGCTTTTATCTACACATAAAAGTTGGCTTACACCATTTTTCATTTTCACTTCCTGTCTATCACGGAATAGGACTTTTTTTTATTTTGCCACATACGTGAATGCAAACGCTGCTGCCAGTGTTATTGTCGGCAAAATACATCAATATCTTTCTCTCATCCGTCAATAAATGTCGCTCAGTTTGACAAAGGCCTTCTAAATGTATTGGCAATAGGAAAATCGATTCCCCACTCACCATGCGGGCACGGAGCAAATTAGTTACAACGGCGTTGATTAAGACGCTTGGTCAGGAATAAAGTCTTTACCTTTCACCGGAAGCTCGTTACAGTGTCAGATAATTTATCTTTCAATATATTTAAGGAAGTAAGTTCATAAGCTAAACAGAACTCTTAGCTAAATAGGTATATAGACTAGAATAGAATATAATTTTATTAACCCTCATATTACACATATTACACATTTACAGATACAAATTAAAAAAAAACTCAGGGCTAACCAGGACCCTGCCTCAGCATTAGCTGATGCGACATTGTGTCGCACCAGCGCTGTTATTCTGGCAGGGCCTGTTTAGTGACACAAAAAAAAGACATGTAAAAAAAATTTATTACTTGAAAGGATGTATGGACTTAATATCCTTTGCTTTCAAGTAAGAAAAAATTAAGATAAAAAAAGTCAATCAAAAACAACATAATAACAGCAAGCAAGAAAAAGCGCGGGAAACTTCGGTCTGGTTGGTCGTGAGAATTTTATAAAATTATTTTTTTAATGTAAATTGGATCAGTTGAGTAGTATTGTGTTAATATTTTAGTTTATTGATATCTATTTAGTGTACATATTGTATTATTCTTCATATAGTTGGTAAGTAATAGTTATGATTTCAGTTCTCATTTTATGTTTGATCCGGACGACCCTGGGGGCTCTGGCCCCCAGGTGTCGAATGTAATTACCGTGGATTGTAATTCCGGCCTAGACACGGAGGGATCTGTACTAGATTCCGATTGCTCGAACCCCAGAACTAACTCTAAAAGAAAAAGAACACATGCCAGTAAGATCTGCAAACATTGTAATAAAAAAAAGAGGAAACATCATAATTCTTCAATTGATTGTAGTGAAACAGACTGTAAATGCGATTTAGCTTCTTCTGCACCCGTTAGTACACCAATGCAAACTAATTTACTTCCAATTCCTTCTACAAATTCAGCATCTCAATTACAATATACTCAATTTTCTATTGACAACAAAAATTCATCACAGCAGCCAATAGGTAGAGTTCTTTATCAGTCATCAGATGCCTCTCCTTTTATTGTTCACATCCAAAAGACTCAAGAAGATCCGAATAATAAAGCATCAATCCACCCAGTTTCCTTTGGACAGTTCTTAAAAAAGCACTCCATTAAAAATATTGTTAATGGTAGTTTAAAGCGCATTGGCAGAAACAGACTTTTACTTGCATTTAGCCATTTTGAAGATGCTAACTTATTCTTAAATAATCCTGAAATAAAAAAGAACAATTTTTAGTCATTCATTCCTACTAACAATATTACGCGTATGGGTGTTGTGAGGGGAATCCCTACAGACTGGTCAGAGGAAGAGATTTTAAAAGATATAAATATTCCCATTGGATGTGGAGCTATTCTTAAGGTAAGAAGATTGAATAAAAAAGTAATTAATAATGGCAGTACAAGTTACATTCCAATTGAAACAGTAGTGCTCACTTTTGATGGCCAAGTCTTACCAAAACGTGTATATTTATGTTATAGTTCTTTACCTGTTGATCTGTACATTTATCCGACTATTCAGTGTTTTCAGTGCTGTCGATATGGTCACATTAAATCACAATGTAGGTCTTCTCCCCGTTGTTTCAAATGTGGTAATGGTCACTCTGGTGACTGTTGCAATGTAGAAGAAGAAAATGTTACATGTTGCCTTTGTTCTGGATCACATTTTGCCACTAGCCGTAAATGCCCTGAGTTTTTTAGACAAAAAAATATTAAAGAATCTATGGCCAAAAGTTGTCTCTCATATGCAGAAGCTCAGAAATTACATCCTCCTATTGGTAGATCATATTCTGATGTTTTGTCTACTCCAATATCTACTACATCATCACAAATAAAAGTCTTGAATCCAAAGCCAGAAAATGTTAACAAATCTTACAAAAAGACAGTTTTTCTAAAGCCTAAAACTCCTGTACAACTTGATAAAGGATTTGACAAAATAGCTCATGCGAAATTAACAAA